TAATAATAATAATAATAATAATAATAATAATAATAATAATAATAATAATAATAATAATCTCAATAAAATTCCCATCATACGCTTCTATTTATTAGATTTCATAAAAGTTTTCCACCGGCAAAGAAAAATATAATTAACTTTGACAGAGTTTGACAGATATTTATTACTATCATTGGTATTCCTAATTTAATTTAATTTTAATAAATCTCTAGAGAGAATACTGGAGCGGAGAAGATCCTTGGTACCCACGAGACCAATGGGACGCCTTTGATCCCATGTTATTATCCGAAGGAGCCTTTGCAGCGGGAATGATCTTCAGTTTCCTGAAACTGGTCCACATCTTCAGCGTGAACCCTCACTTAGGACCGCTCCAAATTTCCTTGGGCCGGATGATCATCGACATTATTAAATTCTTCTTTATCTACACTCTAGTACTGTTCGCGTTCGGCTGCGGAATGAACCAGCTGATGTGGTATTACGCGGACCTAGAGAAGGCCAAGTGTTACCACCGAAATCCAGATATTCCCGATTTTGACAATGAAGAAAAAGCTTGCTCGATTTGGCGACGATTCGCTAATCTTTTCGAGACTTCGCAGTCGCTTTTCTGGGCCAGTTTTGGAATGGTTGATCTCATGTCCTTCGATCTGACGGGAATTAAAAGTTTTACCAGGTTCTGGGCCCTGCTGATGTTTGGATCTTACTCGGTTATCAATGTTATTGTTTTGCTGAACATGTTGATTGCTATGATGTCCAATTCTTATCAAATTATCTCGGTAAGTGTCATTTTTTATCCATTTATAGTTTTTTATTTTTTTTTGTATCACGGATTGATGGATGTTTTGTTTATTAGGAACGAGCGGATACTGAGTGGAAGTTTGCGCGAAGTCATTTATGGATGAGTTACTTTGAAGATGGTGATACTGTTCCGCCACCGTTTAATATGGTGCCTACTGTGAAATCCTTTAATAAGATTAATCCGTGTGGTAAAACTGGACGGCCAACTAAATCAATAATGGTATGTATTTTTCTACCTATTACTAACTTATTTACTTAAAAAAAAAAAATATTTTAAGTACCGGCCGATAATGAAGTCTAATAGTTTAGAAAAATTTGTGATGAAATGAAAAATATCCAATTTAATTAATAAATTTTTATGTTAAATATTATTCGAGTACATTTACTTAATAGTATAAGCAAAAAATCGCTTTACCATAAACAAAAATGAAAATACACATTTAAAAAAACTTTATAAAAATTTTATGGAGTTCACTCACAAAATAACTGTAATTAACTAAAATATTCAAAATTTTTTAAATCGATGAAAAATATTTTTGTCTAATTTTTTACAGAAAAAAAATCGCGAGAAAGCTCAAGAAAGACACGACGTAGTAATACGAATCCTAGTCCGTCGTTACGTAACAGCAGAGCAGCGAAAAAGAGATGACTTTGGAATAACAGAAGACGATGTTATGGAGATCCGTCAAGATATTTCAACTCTGAGGTACGAGTTGATTGACATACTTCGTCAGAATGGAATGCAGACTCCAAATGTTGATCAAAATGATGCGTCAAGTAAGTTTCTTCTCTATAAATACCGACTACACAGAAAAAAAAATACTTGAATCTAGTAAATAATTTTGAAGAACATCTTCTTGATTTGAGTACAAAAATTCTTAAACTAAGAAATTTTTCTTGGTTTAAATAAATTTTATTTGATTCCAAAATTTTTATCTTGATTCAATTCAATTGTTTTTCCAGTATATTTATTGATAAAAAGGAGATTTTACTATTATTAATAATTTCCTAAACTTTTATAGTTTCTGGTAAAAAAGGCCGTGTAATGGAGCGAAGATTGCAGAAGGATTTCCAGATCGGTATCGTCGAAGGAATAGTGAACTCAGTAATCCAAAGTGAAAAGGAACCTAAAGATGTCTTCAGTCAATTAGCTCGGGCGATTGGAAAAAGAGCTAGTGGAAGCAAGAAGAAAGATTGGAACGCCGTTGTACGTCAAAGTACGATTGCAAGAGATCCAATTGGCAGCAGAACAGACGCTCAGATTCGTCAGACACGTCGCAGTCTCAGGATTCATCAACGGAACCATCCAGAGTCAGATTTAGCATCTTTGGATCCGAATCGGCTGGTCGAATACAACCCCAACTTGTCGGAAGTATCTCCAGCGACTCGAGTCGCTTATGCCAAGTTTATCATGGGGAAGATGAACAAGGCGGAATTGAATCGAGCTGTTTCGTTTGAAAAAGGTAATTTTGTTTCTTCTTTTAATGATGATTTTGCTATTTTGATTGCATGCCTTGAGCGCAAGCGTGAAGGTATCCTTTGTTGTCGCTTAAAAAACAAAATTTCAACGTTTTTTCTTATGAAATCGTATCTGACGAATTAAAAAGTGATTTTAATGGATTTTGGTATAGATTTTTCAAGTTTTTATAAAGGATTAATCATGATAGCTTTTAAAAAATCAATTTTTAACTCGCAATATATTTTTTAATCTCCTCAACTGTTTTATGGAAAGTTGTATCCTAATATTGTTTTGTTTAATTATAATTAATTTCTATCGGTTAGCAAGGGAGAATTTTTTAGCTCTTTAGCAACCATGTATAAAAATTTATTTCTAAATACAGCTTGAAGTCAGCCGATACTATACTCTGTTATTTCGCTGGCTGACTGCGCTTGAAATGGTTTTTAGTTGGTTCTTTTTTTAGGATTTACTTATCAGACCGAAAGAGGGCGTTCAATCCGTATGAGAATAATACTATCCGCGGAAAAATTTAAACGAGCTTTAAAATTGAATTTTAAACAAAAATAATTTTTTTGTAATTTATTTATTATTAATTTTTTTGTAATATATTTATTATTCATTTTATTTTTAATTTATTTTTGTAGTGTACGGTAAATAATTATATTTTTTCTATGAACGATGGATATAAAATTATTAAGAAATAGAAAATTTAATTAAGTTTTTATCAGTGATAACTTGTATATATATTTAAACTTTATTTTGATATTTTCATTTTTTTCAACAGACGATACTGCAAATGGGGGAAAAGATGGTAAAGAAGAAAACAAAACAGTATCAAGATCCTCGTCGAAGGTAACAATATCCGCTCCGGCTCAAGCTAAGCCGAACCCGCCATTATCAGCCGCTGGATCGGTGAGCGGGTCGCTTAGAAAGACTCTGCTTAAAGCCACTGCGTCGATGAGTAGTCAAGACAAGGGAGAATCTTCGGAATCCAGGATTATTCCTTCGCCGATACCTGAAGAGCCCGTTGACGACGAAGAGAAGAAAAAGAAAGAGGAGGAGGAGAAGAAGAAAAAAGAGGAAGAAGAAAAGAAAAAGAAAGAAAAAGAGGAAGAAGAGAAAAAGAAGAAAGAGAAAGAAGAACAAGAAAAGAAAAAAGATGAACAACCTCCAGCTCCGGCTAAAACTGTTCCAGATAAACCCAAAGTTGAAAGACCTCCGGAAGCTGAAACTAAAGCGAGGGGCAAGTCGAAAGCTACTGGAAAGGTTATGGGCGGATGGCTTTAAATTTCAGTCATTATCATTATCATTATTATTATTATTATTGTTATCATAAATAAAAATAAACATATTTTATTTTATTGAATAAATATATTTCGACACCATTTTGTTTAGATTTTTGTAAAATTTGAGTCAATTTTCAACTTTTATTGAAAAAAAAATTGTTATTTTGTTTGTGAAATTAGTTTTTTGGAATGTTTCTTTAGTTTTACATTCATGTTTTTAATACGCCTTTATTAGCTTGGTCTGCAGCTGTGACACGAATTCTTTCGATGTCATTTTTACCGATTTCAAGACGTCTAATTGACTTAAAAATTCACACGCGTATTGAGGACCGATGGTAATGCAATAATTTAATAAGTTTATCTGAATTCCCCGACCAGGATCATTGAGATAAAAAAATGAATCATTTTAAAAGCTAAATAAGCACAATTCATAGAATTATAGTGAAAATCGTTTTTTAAATTAGATAAAATAGTACAATCTAACGTTTCTTGATTTTCAATTACATACTAAAAAATTAGAAAAAAATTATAGTTTGAAGAAGTTGAAAATAGGGCTTATAATAGTAAACGCTTTTCGGTGTTGATTTAATAGAATTAATGCAAAAAAGTGTTAAATTTAGACATAAAGGTTTCAAATACTTAAATTAACGTTGTTTGAAGCAAAATGACGCAAAATTTTTACTGTTTACAATATTTACAACAATTTTATCAACCCTTAAATATAATTTTAAATTATTTTCTATTTTTTAGTTTGGTTTGCTTTAAAACCGTGTTTTTTAGTTTTTAAAAGAAATAATTTAAATTTAATTTTTACATGTACGAATCCAGAACTTAAGGTAGTATTTGACTTATTTAAAATATTATTTTCCCTCATTGTTTCAATTTTCATAAAATTCTGAAAAAATTTTTTTGTAAAATGAAACAAAATAAAATAGTGACTTCTGATAAAACTTAAACCTTAAACACAGAAATTATACCGTTAAAGATATTTTTGCTAGTTTTTTGTAGCTCTTCAAAAATTTAATGATATCATAATCTACTAATACACCAAATTTCATATTTAATTCTGACTTGTAAGTGTACGAGCGACAATATACCTTAATTCAGTCTCTATTTATACAACTACGGAATAATGGAAAAAATATTAGGTGTTTTCTCCGAACGTTTTCTGTGCTTGAATTTGTTTTCTTCAAATTTTCTTCCTATGGGAGGAAAGATAATGTGAATTGTAAATTGTACACTACGTAAAAAATAAAGTAAGCAATACCGACCTTAATTTTGCCAATTTTATACAATTTCATGAGATTGCTGGCATCACTAGAGTGTCCGAAATTATTAAAATCACTTGTTGCATCCTTGCCGGCGCATTCTTTGATCAACTCAGCACCCCCGGGATGCTGTCGATTAATTAAAATTAAATATTTACCAAGCCAGTATTGTATAAAATAATACAATCAGAAATCCGTTTAAAATATATCAAATCATTATTCCACTAATCGATTAATACTTCACCTCATTCAAGTAATCCGTGACGTCATAAACATAACTTTTTATGATTATCCATATACTCTCACTGTTATTATGCTTTGCAACTTCTTCGCGGGAAAAATAGTTGGTCGACATTATGGATTAATTCTTATATGTAATAAATATTCATTAAATTATAATATCATTTGGTTGATTTATGAACTGATAATTCACGTATTTATATATCAGAAAAACTAGGTGTTTTTATTGTTATTGAAACAATTATCGATAAGGAAACGGAAATCAGTAAATGATCTTGGAAAAAAATATTATTTGTTTGAAATAATATTTAATCTTTTTAGATATCATCTGTAGGTGATATAGTAATACTCACATCACGTATACTCACATACAATTTCATACCGGTCGATCTACTGCGCATGAGTTTGGCGCCGACACTTATGTATTACACACATATGTGGAAAATTTTACAAATTAATTTTAAAAATTAATAAAATTTACCACTTAATCAATATATCTTAAATTATTTTGTAACATGATCTTTATTTTCTAAACGATGCCAATTAGCGCTTTAATGCACATGACTTTATTTGTATACAAGAAACTTAAATTCGGTTTTTCAGTCACTTTAACCGTTCCATCGGAAAATGTGAAAAGTAAGATTATTTCGTAGAAATTTAAATTTGGAAACGTAAATATACACTAAAATCTATGAATTGACGTTAATCAGTTGTCAGTCATTTTAAAAAGTATCTTATCGTTTACAAATTATAAACTCTCTAAATCTGAAACAGTGAAAATCACTGGAAATTAGTAGTAAATTCACTGTTTCACAGTTATAAGTATACCACTTGGTAGATTTATAACTGTGAAACAGTGAAATTCCACTGATTCATTTTTAGAGAGAATGGAAAAACTTTGAAATTAAAAAAGAAGTTAGAATTAGTTACTTTAATTCTAAAAGTTAAAGACTCTAATCATCAAAGATTTTTTTTTTTTTAGTATTTTGTAGGAGCGAAAAAAATAGTCATTTAAAATGAATCTCCCTAATATTTATATTTATACAGAGGAACATCAGATTCTTTCCATCAAACTATGTGTGCGGTCTTTTTGACACTCTCCTAAATGGATGTCACACTGGTCATATTTTTAAAAATGTTGTACAGGAAACATAGCTCTAGTGGGTGTCAATACAATTCTGGTCCATCATCTTAACCCAGCTATTAATTTATACTGGCGTCGTAATAGATACGAAAAAATTTTGATTTTTTTTGTATCTGTCTCACAAATCGTCGAGCATAGATTTACACTAAAAATATTTTTTTTTTAATTTGCATTTAGTTTTTTTTTTTTTTTTTTTTAATTTCGATACATCCTAAGCGACACAATTTTTTTTTTTTTGTTATTATGATGAATTTAAGTTGACGATTACTAATTTTTGATTTCTTGTTGAGTTAAATCTGCTAAAAAGTCAACATTTTTTTTGTAACGCTTAGGATAGAATTTTTTTTACATCACAAAAAATGTTGGTTATTTGTGATTTTCAGTTCAAAATATTGAATTTTGTAAAATTCATACCAATAAATTTTTTATCAACATTCAATTATTTTGCACAGTAAAAAATTTTGCGTCATGGCAAAGTTTTTTACTGTGTAAAGTTTTCCATGTTATTTTTCTTGTATGAATTTAATATTTTTCAACAAAATAAATTAACGTTCTAAATAAAATTAAAAAAATTTAATTTTCATGAATTTTAATAAAAAATTAAAAAAAAATCAAGTGACCAATTGTGGATAAAAATAAAAATCTCTTAATTACCATCTCACCGATAAGATAATTGCAACACTTTTATTTATAAAAAACATTATTTATTTATGTTAATGATAATAAAAAGAATTATGCTTATTATTTTACAATAAATAATTCTTATACATTTTTATTAGTGGTGAGTTAGTCTTGAGTATTTACATTACTCATGTCATTAACGACTAATAATTCTCAAGGTTAATCTCAGAAAAAATCTTCAGTCTTGAAATCTCTAAATGTCGAAAAAACATCAGTCTAATTTTAGAAATGTCAAAATTAAAATAGTATATCCCAGTGATACTTTGAATCCAAAGATAGTGGGGGTCAACGCGCGTATTTCACCCAGGATACGCACTTGGACAATCATAGTCCAATCCAGCACTGATAATACCAACTTGTATGAATTGATTGTAGTAGTGACTGTAAACCATTAGTGGACTGCCGCTGTCACCTTTACATGCCTCAACTCCAGTGTTGCCTGCCGTACACAGTAAATCTGGGTCGATGTATCCGTCTTCGTAACATTTATTATTGGGGATGATTGGTACGGAGCCATATTGAAGAATGCTGCTTCCTTTTCCCATATCGTTGTCTCCCCAACCCATGATTAAGGCTTTCTTTCCATCGTATATATGATTCGTCGGTATCCATGTGGCCGGAAAGTCTTACCGGCTTGACCGTAGCTGTTGATTAAAATTATTGATGATTAATTATTGATTATCGATTATTGAGAATTTTTAAGAGAAAACTTACGTCCGAAAGGAATGTCCTCGGGCATGTAGAGCAACGCAATGTCATTTTTGTGGTGTCCGTCCCAATACGGGTGAGAAAAAATCTTAGATGCTATCATAGCAAACCCTGGGCCCTGATAGAAATCAGAGTCAGCATGGTCACGGTTTACATCGCCGAACATTATCAATATTTGTTCAGATTGCGTCACGCAGTGTGCAGCGGTCAGTACCCAACGATTTGAGATTATTGACCCACCACAGTAGAAATACTCATCATCATTGTGTTGATTATGGATGCATGGATTGCTACCATCCATGGAAATTGTCCGATGCTAGCATCGTGTTCTCTTGATGCCAATCGGTCCGCCTTTTCGTATATAGAACCCTTGAAAGTGTCGGCTGGAAAATCGTTCAGGTGTAGTTGTATCATAGCTTATTGATTTTAAACAGAGATTTTGTGAACAAAATATGTCTAGATGGAAAAAAAATGTCAACAAATACACCAGACATTTTATCCCAAACTGGACAATTTAAACATTTTTTTTTATTTTTGTTATTTTTGAATATTGTTTAGTATCGATAAAAAAACTTATTAAGGTAAATTCAGAAATTTTTTTAATCACTCGTTTAAAAGATATCGAATTAAAAAAAAAGCCTTTTTTTTTGTTTTTCGCTCATAACTTCTACAAAAGTCGTCTAAATTAATATTCTTTTGTCAAAATTCGTTTGTCTTTTCACGGACTTTAAAAAAAACAAAAAAAAAATAATGAAAATAAATTTTTCAGTGATTTATCTTCCAAAATCAAGCATATTTTGATTTTCCTGAAAATTTGTCATATATATAACAAACTATTTTACGCAACTTTTTAGTCCGGTCTAATTAGGAGATCAGAAGATCTTCTTGGCAACTGATTATTTTCGATTTATCAAAAATTTAAAAGATTTGATTTTTCCTATTATAATTTTACTACACACGACTATTGAAAAGAAAAATAAAAATATATTTGTAGAGCACATATTTTATTAAAATCAACATAAGTTGTATAATTATTGTAATTTATTCATTAATAATAATTATAATAAAATATATCGACGGTCTAATTAGCAATTAATCTAACTCCTTATTTTTTAGAGGGTGATTTTTTAACATTTTGATGTAGTAATCTAGTAATAGTCCAATTATAAATTATTTGACTGATCCTATAACCAAAATATTATACCTCTATTAAATATCAAATAGTTTTTTAAAGTGATAATGAATTTCGAACTAATTGTATTTTCGTATAAATGGAAGATTTTCTAAAATGGAGTTAGACAATTTGCTAATTAGAACGTCGATATGTCGATTATTCCGTCAATGATATTGATGACAGTATTTAAGGTTGTTCGGATAGTACCCCGTATCTAGATATAAGATATAAGTATCTAAGATATAAGCTCATTCCGATGTTACACTCATCGAGACCTTTCATTTGAGTACCCACATCAATTTTTCATATATTTTACATATTATATATATGTAAATATGAAAAATATATCAAAAATGTATGTGCGTAATCAAATGAAAGCTCTTGATGGGTGTAACATCGGGATGAGCTTATATCTTTAAAAACGTCAATAGTTAAAGAAGTATAGTGCAATTTAAGAAAACTCATTATTTCATGAGGCAAAATTTTATTTATTTATAGTTCACAAGTCACAACAGTCACATAGTGACTGCAAGGTTGCTAGTAATAATAATAATAATAATGTGGTGGTTGACATAAACTGAAAATTAAAATTAATTTTTTTTCACTCTAAATAATATTGGTCGCGAGCTAATGCCTCAACTTCAGATGATCTTCGCAAGCACTTCAAATTAAACAATTTGACTAATCGTCGTCAGGTCGCCGACATGGCTTTTTTTTACAAAGTGGTCAATGGAATCATTGACGCCCCGGACATCTGCAGTAGCTTCGAATTTGCGCCTGCCAACTTAATGTTGAGGCGCAAAAGGTTACTGAAAACTACTAAGTCTTCGAAAAGCTATGTGGTGAATGGACCTCATGACAGAATAGAGTAAACCTGGTGAATAAATTAAATGGCGAAGTGGAATTTTACGGTGGTACCTTCAGTGCTTTTATGTCAAGCATTAAAAGACAGTTGCTTATGTACACATAAACTACACAAAGTTTTCTTTTTCTCGTTCTTTGCTTCAATTTAAATCATAATTTAATTTCTTTAATTTATGTTATTTAATTTTAAATAATTTCTTTATGTATATTGCCGATAGGCGTATGTTAATAAATAAATAAATAATAAATAAATAAATAAATATTAGAAATTACTTTTATTTAATATAAATATCAATTTGATAAAATATAAACTCTGATGGTAATAATTATCATCAAAGATTGTAGAAATTATTAATTTGGTTTTAAAAATTATTATCAAGATATTTAATCAAATTATCTTAGATAGTTGAAAATACAATCTTATAGTAATATAAAAGATGGTAAAAATTACCATATTGGTGGTAACTGTAATAATTTATATCGTATTTATAATAATAAAAGGTAGTATTTGTCACTATCGAAGTATTTTAGAGCTTTTTACAATACTCAGATGATAGTATTTACCATAAAATTCTCTCCGTGTATATACTATGCATTGACGGGGTGGAGTGGTAATAGAAAGAGAAGGGATGAGAGAACGAAAAGAAAGAGGGAGAAAGAGAAAGGTATTATACACTACTCGTCTGTGTATGCGACTGTCGCGCCTGCGCACGTCTCATTTAACGGTTTTATTCCACGCATTTTTCTTACGGTTTTACTATCACATTTTTTTCAGTTCGGTCACGCATCAAAATCCCTATCCCCTCCAAGCCTGCCGTAAGGAACTTCGTTCCAATAAAAATAAAATGCATACCTTGACCAGGAACAAGAAAATCCTTGCGTTAAAAAAAAGTTATTGACTCAACAAAACTATTGCTGATAATAAGTGCAATAACTGCACTGAATAAAATAATAATTGTCTGAACACTAAAAGCCATTTTTAAATTTTGTAAAATTGTTCGTTTTTCTTCGAAAACGACTTGGTTGGCACCCTATTCGGTAGAGATCGAAAATATAACTGATTGTAACTAGCCAAATGCATGTGCACTTACTATCTGAGAAATCAGCATGCTCTTTTTCAAATTTCATCTATACTTAATGTATAGATGAATGTTAAATACTTCTTTATTATGAAAATGTAGAAATTTGAATGTCACTTATACCTGGCCTTGCTTTGAAATTGAAACCCCTTTATAAAAGGATACGCTTAGATTTGACATACGTAGTTTGAGTCATTGTCATATTATTATAAGTATAGTCAAAATTTTTCGCAGTATATTTAAATTAATTAATATTAAATTAAGTTTTGGCTTTGCTATTATTGATTTTGTTTACTATCATAAATCATTAGTAATTTTCTCTCATTAGTCAAAGACTTCTTTTAGAGCTCAGTAGCTATGTAATTTAAATCTTTAATTTTTATAAAATTGTAAGTAATTTTATGTATTTAATCAACTATGAAAACTTCAGATTTTTGAAATTTGTCACCAAAAAGAAATTATGAATTGTACATCAAAAGGATACAGTTAGATTTCTGTTGTAATCAGTTCAAAAATTGAATTTTTTGGGATTTACTTCAGTAAATTTTTTTTCTAAAATTCAATCTTTCTAAAAGTTTCTATTTTTTTGTCTTGTGTGTTTTTAATTTTTTTTTTTGTCAAAATAAATGAACGTTCTTAATTGTTCTAAATGAAATTTAAAAAAATGTGATCTCTTATAAATAATGATAAAAAGCTTCTTATTTTATTTTCATCGATTAATTTTTATTTTAACTCAAAATAAAAAGTCAAGTGACCACCAGCAGATATAAATAAAACTCTTTCAACTATCACCCCACTGAATAAAATAATTTCACATATTTATTTTTTATGATTAGCAAATAAATACATAAATTATTTATATTAATGATAATCAAAAAGAATTATGCTTAGTATTTTACAGTAAATAATTTTTATATTTAAGATACAAAACATACTTGTATTGAATGTATCTAGACGTCAAAAGTTATCGAGGTATTTAAATTAAATAATTATTTACAGTATTCTTAAACTTATAATTAAATTCAATTTCTTAACAGTCTAATCTCTATGTGTAAACACAATATTTACATTACTAATGTTATTAAATTAACGACTAATAACTGCCAAGGTTAATCTCAGAAAAAATCTTCAGTCTTGAAATATCAAAATATTGAAAAAACATTAGTCAAATTTTAGAAATGTCTAAATCAAAATAGTATCCCCGTGATTTTTTGAATCCAGAGATAGTGGAAGTCAACGCGTGTGTAAAACCCGGGATACGCACTTGGACAATCTTTGTTCACTCCAGCACGGACTACGCCAACTTGTACGTAGCAATTGTAGTTCTGGCTGTAAACGATAAGAGGACCACCGCTGTCACCTGGGCATGCGTCAACTCCTGTGTTTGCTGCGGTACACAGTGTATCTGAGGTTATGTATCCGCTTATGTAACACATCTCGATTGAGATGATTGGCAAGAATCCATATTGGAGAATGACGGTCTCTCTTCCTGTGCCGTTCAGTCCCCAGCCCATAATTAGAGCTTGCTTTCCACTGTAGGACTTGTAGGTGTCCATGTGGCCGGAAAGTTTTATCGGTTGGACCGTAGCTGTTAATTAAAATTATTGAATGTTAATTATTGATTATCGATAATTGATTATTACTTATTGATTATTAATGATTATTGATTAATGAGAGTTTTTAAGAAAATCTTACGTCCAAAAGGAATGTCCTCGGGCATGTAGAGCAGTGCAATGTCATTTTCGTGGTGTCCATCCCAATATGGATGAGAAAAAACGTGGGGTTCCATCATTGCGAACCCTGGGCCTTGATAGGAGTAGTAGTCAGCGTGGGCCCTGTTTACGTCGCCGAACATTACTAATATTCGTTCAGATTGCTTCATGCAGTGTGCAGCGGTCAGTACCCAACGATTTGAGATTATCGATCCACCACAATGAAAGTACTGATCATCATTGTCAATTTGGATAATATGGATTGATACCATCCACGGAAATTGTCCGGGACTTGCGTCATGATCTCTTGATGTCAATGGGTTCTCCATTTCGTAAATAGATCTCTGATAAGAGTCAGCTGAAAAATCGTTCAGTTATAATTATATTGTAACTTGATTTTGGACAGAGATTATATGTAAAAAATATTTCTAAGGAAAAAAAAACTATCAAATATACGTTATTCAAAAGCTTCACTGATATTATAGGCTTAAATGTTAAAAATTACAAAAAAAAATGTATAATTTTTTTGTTTTTTTTTCATTTTTTTTTAATAAAAAGTTAATAATTTAATAAGAATTTAATTGTATTGAAGTTTGGAGTCAAATTAAATTTAAAGTTATTTAATTTTCTTGAAATTTTTTCATCTTTGACTTTTCAATATTTGCAAGTTACAAATTATTTGAACACTAATTTCTTGAAAATTCAAAGTTATGTTATCAAAGATGGCTATCGAAAGTAAATAAAATATTTTTATCGAGTACATATTTTATTGAAATCAACATAAGTTTGTTTACTTTTTACTTTACTGTCATTACCGTAATATCAAAATATTGTTTTTTTTTTAATGAAAATATATTTTGTCTTACATATTATTAATATTATTTAATAATTTTTTAACATTGTTATAACTTTTTTAAAGTTCGTAAAAAAAAAAAAATAGTAATAACATTATTTATGTGATGGTTATTAGTTATTATTAATGATATTTATGACAGCATTCGTATAATTAAAAAAAAAAATAAAACAGAATTCATACCTCGATCAAGAATAGGAATATCTTCATGTTTAAAAAAAGTTATTGGCTCAACAATATTATTGTTGAGAATGATTGTAAAAACTGCACTAAATAAAATAACAATTGTCTGCATACTAAAAGCCATTTTAAAATTTTGTCAAATTGTTCGTTTTTCTTCGAAAACGATTTGAAGCCCTACTCGGGAGAGCTCGAAAATATAACTGATTGTAACTAGCCACATGCATATATAGTTACCATCTAAGAATTCAGCATGGCTCTTTAATCCTCTTCTTTTATTCTACTGTTGGTTCTTTCTTTATTATGAGAATGTAAAAATTTGGATGTCACTTATACCTGACCTCGCTTAGATTGGACATAGTTTGAGTCATTATATTACAAGTATAATCAGAATTTATAATTATTAGTTTTAAGTTAAGAGATTAAGTACAGGATAAATTTTTCAAAAATTAATTTTCTGGAAGTATGATGTATCGAAAACATTTCCTAAAAATTTAAAATTAATTCAATTAATAGTTTTGAGGTATCTTACGAGATCTCGGCTTCTATTTGTTTTTAACCAATTGTTCGTAAATCATTTTTTTAAGGATGAATCAATTCTTATCATTTCATTTGGATCAATCTAAAACGAAAGTTATTATTCGCATAACATTGAACTGAAGTTGACAGTTTTAGAGTTGAAAATTTTTTTGAATTCCAACAGAAAATTGAGATGAAATATATGTGAAGCCAATTTATTCGTAATGTGATTGGTCAAATATATGACAACCATGAAAATATATGTAATTCCATAGTAACATTCAGACGCGCGCTTGCTTGTGCACGTTAAATTTAGTTGTACAATAAAAATCTGAAAAGCAGTTGGAGGCCATTTCTGATGGAACTTCCTGCTTTCTTCGGATTCGAAAATCTTCCAATTGGATTACTTTTGAGATCTTCAAGCTCAAATATTCTGAGGTTACATAAAAAAATAATGATTACTTAGAAATTTTTAAATGGCTGTAACTTTTGAACGCCTGATTCGATTTTGATTTGCTTGGTGGAATTTGACGAAGTTTTTGAAGTACAAAGAAAATGTCTCTAAAGTGTGTTGTTGATTAGCCAAATATTTTGAAAGTTTTTTTTTTTTTTTTTAATTTGTTTAAAGTCGCATAAACTACTAAGGTCATGAGCGACTACGGTAGGGGGTAAACTTTTGAGATTGGAACTCGTTTGTATTTCTTGGGCTGAGCAGAATAATAACACTTAAATATTGAAAATATCCATTGGTGTACGCCGGATTCGAACCCGGTCCAATGCTTTGGTAGCAAGGGCCGGATCCGATAGGCTACTGCGCGCCTTATTTTGAAAGTTATTTCGAAAAAACTTAAAAAAAAATTTTTTTTGGTTTTCATTTTTGAATATCTTTGAAACGGCTGAACTGATTGACCTCAAAATCTAATCAGATTGAAGTCTCAATGAAAAATTTTGACACCGTGTTGCTCATTTTGATCGGTTCATTATAGTTCTGAAGATATCGTAGGACAAAATTTTATTTACACACACACACACACACACACACACACACACACACACACACACACACACACACACACACACACACACACACACACACACATTTTTGGTTTTCATTTTTGAATATCTTTGAAACGGCTGAACTGATTGACCTCAAAATCTAATCAGATTGAAGTCTCAATGAAAAATTTTGACACCGTGTTGCTCATTTTGATCGGTTCATTATAGTTCTGAAGATATCGTAGGACAAAATTTTATTTACACACACACACACACACACACACACACACACACACACACACACACACACACACACACACACACACACACACACACACAAACATACGCGCGCGCGCGGCACATCCAGCCAGAAATAGTTGGAATAGTTTCCTAGGACTTCAAAACGTGGAGATCTGATGAAAACTCGCATTTCCAAAATTGGACCGAAACCTATAACTTCCTACTTTTGAAAATTATTTATTTTCAAAGCAGAAAGGTTAAAAATATACATCTGCTCACGCTAAAACCTCAAATGAATCACGATTTATAAAGAATTAGATCTGATGAAGATGGCGATAATTTCATCAGATTTTTCATAATAATATAGATATAATTTTTCGTGCCTCTGACTGCACTTATGTAATGCCCTTGTCAATAAAAAAGAAAACGCTTTTTTTTACCTACTTTCAAAAGAAAATTCCAAAATTTTATTATTTATGGTTGAACCTCGAGTTATAAGTATAGAAATAATTCTTCATTAAATTTTATATTACTTTACAGTTGACTTTTGTTTATTGAAAAAATAATTTCAGAAGTTGATGAGTTTGAAACTCTCTGGAAGATAAAGGAAAATTTTTTTTTGTTTCCCTAATGTTTAGGATAAAATACCTGATTCAGTAGTAAAATCCCTGAAAAATGGAGGTGAATAGATAAAGAGAAAAGAAATGAAGGTAGCATAAAAGTCCATTTGTTCCATGCTTTACCAGTAACATTTAACTGTAGTCGTGTTAATCCGGTAACAATTAGCCAATGGTCGATGGTCGACAGCTGCACCTGAATAACAAGAGCTTTGTATTGTTTAGATCAAGTGTTTTGTTGTTGCTATGCGTTGGCACAACAGAGATGTGGAGATAGAATGGACATATATAGGCATAGGTATAGCAAGTGCCGTCAAATTCCTTGGGAAATCCCGAGTGTCCGGGATTCCCGTGTCAAACAATACGATAACTTTACTATTGTGTGTGCAAGCCAAGGGGATTATCACAATTATTGCATGTCAATATTAATTGTAATCTAATTGGTAAATCTTTGCTTGTGAAGCGAATAATATTTGATATATAAATCGGGTGCTTAAAGCAAAAAGGGCGCGTTGCTACAGATTAGTAGGGATCCATGCTAAAAGGACGCATAAAAAAAATTTGTTTTGTCATTTCTCTTAAAATCACTCAAAACACAGATCTGTAAAAAAAAATTCGAGCACCCTAAAGCTAAAAGGGCGTAACTAAAGACATGCGCCTTTTTAGCTTCTAGAATATTAGCGCCTATAGCTAAAAGAGTGCATAAAAAAAATTTAACTTTTTATGAAAAATTTGGATAAATAGCTTCACAAGACAAGTTAGATCCAAAAAACAGTCTAATACATAAAGCTCATTTATTACAAAAAGGAGCAAAATGAAAACAATTGTTTAGTTTCGTATTTACTCAGTTTCTAGATGTAAAATTTATATGAATAAATTTTTTTTCACCTACGACACGTTTTTTTCCTTTGAAATTCATTAAAAATGCAGTACTTAATCAGAAAATCAAAAATGTCAACTTTTTATTGAGAAAAAAAAATAAAACCGAAATCTACTGATTTTTTCTTTAATTTAATTATTGTCTTAGATTATAGGTACTCTATAAATCAAAATAATTTTTTTTTAATTCAATAATTTTAATTCTTTTTAATTTTATGTTAAAAAAAAAAACAAGGTGATAATGAAATAAAAAATATATGACCGAAACGTCGCAATGAATTGACAGTTAGTATTTTTATAAATATGCTATGTCCACTTTCCTGCAAATTGTGTTAATTAGAAATAAAAAAATTTTTTTAATTCTTAAAGATAAAAGGGCGCATAATTATAGACATACGCCTTTTTAGCTTTAGGAAATCAATGTTTCATTTTTAGGCGAAGAATATGTTTACCACTCGATTGGTGAAAAAAAAAAAAATTATGCGCCCTTTTACCTTTCGGCACGCGAAATGATAATTTTGATATCTGAATCTTAAGATTTTTTATTTTTTTTTTAATATTTATCGAATTAAATTTTATTCTAAAACTTAAAAAAATTGATAAATTTTTTTTTGTCTACTGTAAAAAAATTCCAAAGTGGATAACTTTCAATTTATTTAATTCCTAGGGAGTAAAATTCATTCTCAGAAGAATTTTATTTATATTATTGATAAAAAAGAAACTCCGCAGGGTGCATTCTTTATTTTATTTAATATATAAAAATAAAAGAGCCATTTGGCTGCTGAAATGGAAGTATATTTCTCAAAGTTACTGAAAACTTTCAGGATCGTAAAAACGAATATGCATTAGTAAAATTTCATCAAATAGTTATAGTTGAGTAGGTAATTTTAAGTCGAGGAGAAAGGAATGACGTGGAAATCGAAGTTTATTTTATGAGCTCTTAGATATAATTTATACAAATTATTGTTTTTAAGGTAGCACCCTCGGTAAGAGATTTACCGTTAGAAATTTCATAAAATTTGATATATTAGTAAAATAAATAAGCCCAACAAATTTTTGAAAAGCTCATGAGAACCAGTAAAAAAATATTGAGCTTCTGAAGTTTCAGGGTTAAACATTATCTCCATGAGAAATGACAGTTTTTATTTTATTTTACAAAAAATGACTCATAATATAATAATTCATAAGAAACTTTCAAAAATTATCTCTGTCTCTCTTTCTCTAATGCGACATTGGATAGGAAAATCAACTATGCAAATCAAATAAGACTTTTTATGGAACATTTGACACTTGTGGTGTTATCTGTGATACTACCTTAAAAGTTATTTCAATAAGAACTTGCATTAATGCGATTTTTTGCAATAAAAAAAAATTTGAATTACTCTTACTTCTAAATTAATTGAGCTATTTTTGTCTCAGAAAAATTATTTTTCTGATTTATTGAATAAAATTTCAATATAAAAACTGATTTGATGTAAACATTCGTTTTATGAATTAGGATTTTCTTTAATCACTCCCAGTCTTTCATTTAAAATTTCTATTATATTTTTTAAATATAATTTGTATAATTTGTACCACTGAGTTTAACTCTTAAATTTTTTATACTCAAGTTTATTTTCTTTCTTTTATTTGTCAAAATTTTATTCCAAATTAAGAAAAATAATCAATTCTTAATATCTAATATTTTTTAAACTTTATATCTTCATTAGTCATACGTGTACTTTTATTGTAACTCTTTTTGTATACTTATGCCATCTGGCTATACTGCCTTGGCATTGAAATAAAATAATAAATAAATAAAATAAATAAATAAATAAGTTTATGAAAAATGAAAATTATATCACACATATAGGACAAAGGTAAAAATAAGTTAAGAAATTGTTAACCGTATTATATATATTTAATCGCTTCTTTTTCTCTCTTACGAATCATACATTTCATTTTATAAACATTTATTAAATGTATTACGTGGTGATATAATGATAAGGATAATAACAATGCATAGGTACTTGTACAAAGTAAACTCAACAGTATCACAATAATTTTTACGTCAGGTCAATTTAATTATTTCATGAATAATAATAAATAAAGAAAAAAATTCAACATGCTGTTAATTTGTTAGAATCGGAATTTCAACAACAAAAAAAAACTATCGCGAATAAAAATGAGAAGTTCAATTAATTGATCAATTTGTTAATTGATTAACGAGATTAATTCACTTTATTTATTTATTTACATGACTATAAATATCATAACCAGTGAACCAGCTCGTGAGAAATCGTCACATTTTAACGAGTCATGGTGGTATTATTTTTTTTTTCACAATAATAATAATGGCTGTAACGATTAATTTTCGACCACTAACGAAAATGATTGATGATTAATGATCAATGATTAATGACTCGGGTACCTGAGCTAATGACGATTTACGTAAATTGGCTCGAAAATTGTGTTTTCTTCTTTTCTTTTCTTTAAATATTACTTCATTTATATTTTAGAGTAGAAAAAATGAATGAACAAGGAACAAGACATCGCACTCTATGGGAATGTCATTTAACAATATTAAAATTTACAAAAAATTATATAAGAGAGCGGCATTAATATCACTCGTCAATAAATTCATTGCTTTCTTCTCTATCGATTATTTTTCTCTATTTATTTATTGATTTATTATTAATAATTATAATGTATATTTGTTTATATATATTTATATTTATATTTGTATATATTTATAGGTGCAATTAATTAATTAACGAGTAACTGCTGCCGAAACGATTGATCGATCGACGATCCATTATTTTTAATGATTTAATTTTTTAACATTCATACGAAATCTCTTGCTAAAGTTTTTTCATTTTTTAGTTGTACAATTTCTTATATCATTATGTTCATGTTTTATATGGAGATGTTGTCAAATTACAGAGTTGCAATTAGTGCCCATTTGAATTAAAATTTTTTGTTCAATTTTTTATAATTTTACAATCTTGATTTGTTTTTTTTTTTTAGATTTCTTCTTTTCCGACTTAGGAAATTTATCCTGATAGCTGTATGCTAACTGAAACTCGCCGTCGATCGGCGTTTGGAATCGGCAACCAGCTTAATGTAAAGAGTTGAAAAAACAAGAGTTTCAGTTACGTTGACAGAAAGTTGCTCTGTTATTTGATATCAAGACTTAATGTGCAAGTTCTTTCAGAAAGTTATCGTAAAAGTGTTATCTAAAAGGTTGAGGTCAAATTGCATTCTAATCTTGGCCGTAGATTCCATCAACTTTTATGCAACTCTTATTCAGAAAGACTTTATGTTAACTTTTCTAAAATTATTGAACTGCATGTTCTTGAACAGTGAGGCTATCAGGGTATAATTTTCGAAAATTATTCAAAAAATTTTGAACCCGACAAAAATTGAAAACTCAATAGTTTCAATAACTGCTTTTTCTTCATTTCGTTTATTTACAAACTTAGCGCGTCATTTTGCATCGCTTCGTTCATTGAATTTTGGTCAAAAAATCAGTAAATTTCAATAATTGGACAATAATAACCAATAACGTCTTAACCATCATTTTTTTTCAAAATTTTTTAGATGGCATATTCCGGTTCAAAAATGCTTATTAACGACATTGTTAGTTGAGACGTTATTAGTTATTATTGTCCAATTTTAGTAAACATAATCACAAATCTTTTAACTGCAATAATTTGGCAATCACTCCACATCATTTATATATAAACGTAAATACTTGGTACAATAAATAAAAAAAAATTTTTTTATATTTTATTAATAAAGTTAGCAAGAGATGCTAATAACCTTAAATATACTTTATCGGCCGTTAATATTATTTAGTCCAGTAGTAAATATATGTAAAGACATATATTTAAGTACACATGTTGTTGATCACTTAAGTACTTGTTCTCAGTAAAACAATAATCACTGCAATTAATATCCATAAATTCATTGCTATTACAATCAACTAATTCGTTATTTCAATCAATTTATTTGTATTTTATTTTACTTAATTTACGGTCATTATATTAATCACCTTAACACTACCAACTACCTTACCGGTCGCAGGAAAATTAAACCATTCATCGGTATAGACAGCAAAATTTACTTTTTCTTCGTTAGCATATATGTTAGATTGTACAACACGTTTCATTACATCTATTCGATTTCTTCAGTGGGTTAAATAATAAACAGATTTTTTTATTTATTTTTGAGAAGAAATGCTACAGATAAGAGGATTTTTATAAAATTTCACCTCAGAAATAATAACACAATTTGAAACAATTTTACGTCAGAATTAATTGCCAGAAACAATGGTAGATATCAATAATAGCAATAACAATAATATATTGACTTTTTTGAGGTTAGTTAGACCAAGGAACATTGTCGTATCTTATAACATTTAGTACATTTCTCCACCATCAAAATAAATCTGTTCTATTAACAACATTATATAGTTCAACTTTGTAATTTTTTAACAATAATTTAAGCTTTAATAAATAAATAATATTGAATTTTTTTATCACTTTGTAGCATAACCTCTCAGATAATAAAATTATTTTGACTGTACAGATGAGTGGGAAGAAATGTAAAATTTGACAATTTACTGTATATTAATATCATCGCAACCTACGGTTATATAACATGATTAGTTATATTTATATTTATACTTAAATTTAAATATTTCTTTATATATATATATATATATTTATATATTAATAATAACGAACATATATATATTCAAATCGTGAAAAATCATTGGCAACACCCGCATATTCGCACATGCGAATATATTAATTATTAATTTTAATTAAAAGTTCATATATTTATTTTAAATATATACATATATGATCAATTATTATATTAATATATAATGTATGTATTTATAATTGACGGTTAAATCATTATATTGTAATGACGACTGCAATGTGACTGCACAATAAAAAATTTTTCATTTTAAACTTCCAGACTTCAATATTAATATTTTAATGTAAAGGTCGATTGAAAAAAAGGAAGCTGAATTTTACTACGTAGTAGAAAAAGTATGAGAGAGTTTGTACACTGAAAAAAAAATTCTTGACTGAAGTGTAAATTTTCTTGGCTCAAGAAAATATTAAGGAAGGTTGAAAATTTCTTGAATGAAGTTAAAATTTCTTGAGTCAAGAAAATTTTCTTGAGCCAAGAAAATTTTTTTCATATAACCTGCATTGAAAATGCGAGTTTTAATGCCTGTTGAGCCAACTGAAACTAGACAATTTCAGACCAATGCGACTGTGCCGGGCAGGAATCAATTATTACTTCCCGGCGGACAGAAAATGACGAATTACTGCCCGCGAGATGAAGTTGCAGCTTTATTTTCAATCCTATCAATTGTTTGTTTATTTTATACCTTTATAAATTGTCATTCTAACCGTTAACTGTACTGACATATTATAATTCTGTTATTAAGCATAAATAAGAATGACAAAATAAAACTATTCAATTTACGAAAAATGTTAGATAAAAAATAAACTATTACTTTCTATTTTATTATAAATTTTATAATAAAATGGTATTTTCGCTATTCGTCTGAAACTATCTAGTTCTGGTTGGCTCCAGACATTGAAACTAGCATTTTTAATGCAACTTATATAAAAAATATAATGTGTGACGCGGGATGAAACACGATTTCAGACCGAGTGATGCCAGCCCTCGCTTCGCTCGGGCAGGCAACTTCACTCTGGTCTGGAATCGTTTTGTTTCATCCCTAGTCACACAATATACTATTCTTGCTCCAAAATAATTTTCGTTTTCCTTAAAATTTTCTTGGCGCAAGAAATTTGTTTTTTGTGTGCATAAATATTAAAGAATCGAAGTAAAATATCGAGAATAAAAATAATATTTATCAAGGTAATAAGAATTTATAATTGTCTAAGTACACAATAAATAGTATTTTTAAAGTAAATATTTTCTAAAGTTTAGTTTTGAAAAACCCGTCGTTGCTTAAAAGAAACTATATACACTCTGGTAGATGTAGACACCACGTTACTTTCTGGTGATTTCGAACCATAGTCGAAAGTGTAATAGCTTAATCGCAACCTCAGGTGTATTCACGCGTCTAATAAATTGATACTTCTAAAAATAAACAGCACGGCTGATCGAAGGGTAAAAATTTGGTTGTCACTTCTAGCCAAAATATATTTATTATAATTAAACAAAAAAATGTTGAGCAAGAATTTTTAAAAGGGTTCTTCACGTTGATCATACGAAAGGACTTAAAGAAAAATCGGGTTATAAAATTACATTTCAAAAGTTATCGTGTTTACAAGCCCATTAACTCGTATGAAACCTATTACCTCATATCATTAAAAACAGTTTATATAAAAATTCTAAGTAAAATTTAGACTGACTTGTATTTGAATCTCTTTCATTAGATTCTAAGTAGAAAAAGTCGGTTATAGTCAGGCAGATATAGTCGAAACGTTATTAAGAAATAGACAGAAGTTTCGGACGAAAAACTTTTTACTGTGTAAGAATAGTATTAATTTCCTTCTTCTATTATCAATATCAATATTAATATGAATGTAATTAATAATAATAACAATAAACAATAAGAAAGCGTTAAAGATACTCGACAATGTCACACTTAATTGATATATTAGGACAGCTTGCGATATTAGAGCCATAAGCACCGCCTGTACTCTTATGTCTCTCTGAGAGCAATTTTTGGAATATCGGCAGTATTTCACGGTCTAGAAGTTCTCCGTCAGACGCGGCACTGCACATATTCGTGAGGTTCGCAGTGGATCCACTGGCAACTCCGTCAGGATTTGAAGTTGTCTCGTCTCTTACAACTAGTTCACTACCCCCCATAGCACTCCCACTTCCCCCCATCCCCAATCCTAGAGAGTCTCCTAAACCAGAGTGTCCGCAGTTAATGGCACCACGTCCACAACTAGTTGTAATTCCGCCTCCTCGGGGATTCGCACTGGCAAACTTACCGCTGTGGACAGTTGTCGCAACATTAGGGCTACTTTGAACGTACTCAAGACGTGCTTGCTGCCGAAGACGTGATTCGGTATGACGACACTCGCGGTGCTTTCGCGGCTGAGTTCGATGGCGACACTCCACTGGTCCAGCCGTCAGGTGGTGCCCACTGGAGGCCGTCAGGGTGGTGCTGGTACCTGCGGTACTGGTTCGTGATCTTGAGCATTTTTCGCGGGATTTTTCCGACACCGATCGTTGGATTATTGCCGATGGATCCTCAGTTTTTTCTGTAATTTTTTAGATTTTTTCGTTTTAAATTAAGTTCAAAAAAGATTTAAAAGTTTTGAATATTTTATTCAAACTTTTTACTGTCTTAAAGATACATGTTTAATAAGGGATTACTGAAATTTAAAAAAAAAATATTAAAAACTCTGCCATTGTCAAATTTCTGGCGAGCCCTCGGAAAAAGATGCGTCCGCGTGGCCACCAGAACTCCTAGCAGAATTTTTTGAAATGAAAAAAAAAAAATATGTGCTTTAGTTAAGACTTCAAACTAGGTCTTGAACGAAGGAAAAAAAAATGAAAATTGGATTTTTGGTAGAGGTTTTTACAAAAAAATTAAAAATTTGGCAAAAATTTTGCGGCATTTTTTTTTTTAAATTAGTTGTAATTGAAAAAAAAATGCTTCGTTCCAGACCTTGTAAATTATATCTCGAAGACCTGTCTAAAATTTCATCAAGATCATTTGAGTAGTTCTCGAGAAATCTTGGCCACCGTCTTTGAAAACATAGTTTTGAGAAAAACGCGTTTAAAGTTTTGAGTGACAATACAATAGCGCCTTGAGCGCGCAACTTTTTAAAACTGTATCTCCGAAACTATTATTCGGATCGATTTGAAACTTTAGGACGATATTCTAGAGATGTTGTAGAATTTAATAAAACATAAAAAAAAAAATCGACTTTTTGAAACCGTGAAACCCCTGTAACCCCTTCATTTATTATTGTCAAGAATTGGAGTAATTTATATTTTAGATATTTCGGGTTATTTTCCTTTTTCAACTCTGATCCCGCTGTTTTTATAATGCGTATGTGCATTAGAAACAAAGTTTACTTGAGTGAAAGAAAAAAAATTCTTAAGCTAAAAAATTATTGTAGGATTAAATAAACTTTAATTGGTTCAAGAATTTTTTTTATTGATTCACGAAAATTATTTTCTTCAAAATGGTATTCTTGATTCAAGATTTTTTCTCTTCAATGGACTTAACTGTTTTTTTTTTATCAGTGAAGCTACTAATATTTTTCTATTGCTTGACTGGTGTAAATTTTTAGTTTATTTTAATGATTTTTCCGTTTCTATCGTAGTAAATAAATTTTTGGAAATTAGAGAATTAATCTTGATCGAATTATTGATAATATACAAATTATGTTAGTGTCCGAGAACGAAAAAAAGTGTAACAATGAAAACAGCTAATACACTCCACGACAATAGTATAACCCACCCCTCTAATTTTTTTATATTTACTGTAAAACTAAATACAAATAAATAAATTCCTAACGCGCCATTATTGCTGCTTTGTTACGCAGCGGCGAAGTTATTGGTTTGATAGTGCGACAAAACTATAACCCATTCGTCTCATTGGCTCAAGCAGCTCGATGCACTGGACCTGTCTATTCATGTTTATACTTGTTTCAAGTAACTCGTAAGTTCTTACGCATAAATAAATTGTTTAAGTTAATATTTATCTATTTTTTATTTAAAATGCCACGGAGAAAACACTTTAACAAAACTGAAATTGATATAATTAAAAAATTGCATTCTGAAAATTATTCTAAGGCCAAAATTGCAAAAATCATCAACAGAAGTCATCGTGTTGTGCGAAATTTTTTAAAAGATCCCGACAACTATGGTAAGAAAAAACGGACAGGTCGACCGAGAGCAACTACACCACGAGAAAGAAGGTCAATTCTAAGAGTTGCGTCCAATTCTACGCTTACCGCAAGACAAATCGCAGCGGAGGCTGGTGTTAGTACTAATTTAAGAAATGTTCAACGTATTATATGTGAGTGTGAACATTTAAAATGTAAGAAATTACCAAAAAAACCGCCGTTGTCTGCTAAACATAAGCTAGTTAGATTACAATTTGCAAAAGATCATATTCAATGGAAAAAAAAGTGGCTAAAAGTTATTTTTTCTGATGAAAAGAAGTTTAATTTGAATGGACCTGATGGTTTTAATTACTATTTTCACGATTTAAGAAAAGATAATTTTATATTGAGCCGTCGGCAAGCTGGAGGTGGTAGTGTAATGGTATGGTCTGGCATTGGATACTCAGGTAAAATGGATATTAAGTTTTGTTCTGGAAAAATAACTAGTAAACGATATATAGAAGTAATAAACGAGCAAATTAACTCTCACGCAATGCGAATTGCTGGCCCTAATTTCATTTTTCAACAAGATAATGCCAGTATCCATCGAGCAAAGGTAGTTAGAGATTACTTTAATGAAAAAAATATTCAAGTTCTTGAATGGCCAGCATATTCTCCTGACTTGAACATAATTGATAATTGTTGGAGAAATTTATCACGAGCTGTCTATCGTGGATCAAGACAATTTACTTCTGTTGAAGAGTTAAAGAAGGTGATAGTTGACGAGTGGCAAAATATAAATCAAGACATAATTAAAAAGCTATATGACAGTTTACCGGACCGAATGATTGAGGTGATAAGTAAAAAGGGTGGATCTACTAAATATTAGATTACATGAATGATTATTGTTTGTTATATTTTTCTCGAATTTTTATTTAAATTTCATTACCTGGGTTATACTTTTGTCGCACTGCAAAACTCAATACTATAATTCTTTATCAGATATGAAAAAATTAGGGGGGTGGGTTATACTTTTGTCGCGGAGTGTAGTTATAGCAGAAAGGATGCCAAAAAAATTTTGCGTTTGTAGAGCACTTTCTAATACCTTGCATTATGCATAGTGCAAAAACCTTTATCAAGTCATACCGACTATTTTACGTCAAATTCCTTGCGCTTACGATGCGCCATCTATGTACGTCATTTCTCTTATTGCTAACATTACCTGAAGAAGAATTGAGAGACTAACTATTGTTTTAGCGTTTGATTCTTTATAAATTTTTTATTTAGTTAATTGACTAAATTATGTTGACAAACATAAATAATTATAATTAAAATTATAAAACTCAATAATTTAAATTCAATAGATTCAATTTTATTTATAATTTACTTGTTAAAATTTAAATTTTTAACCAGAAAAATTACACTTAAGATATTTTAAAAATTGAATTATCTGTCTGATGGTATACAAATTATACGGGTGTTTGTGTAGTGACAAGAGCATACACTGAAAAAAAAGCGGTGTTAAAATGGACTCCTTTTAACACCGCTGTGCAACACCGGTCAATTAACATCGGTGTTAAAATGGTTCTCGGCGGTGTTAAAAATTTGGTGTTAAATCGGTGTTACAGCGGTGTACAGTAACTCCGTATCGGTGTATTATCAGTAAAGAATTTATGAAACACTAAATAATATTAGATATTAATTAAAATTGAACAAATTAATGTTTATTTTACAATTAGACTGAAATCAAATAAAACATAAATTAACTTAATATAATAAATATACAACAAGTTATTAAATATTTACAGTAATAAATGTTTAGAAACTATATAGTAGTGACACTGTAAAAAATTTTTTGGACTCGGTGTGGTGTAAATGATTCGGTGTAAAAATTTTTAACACGGACGGTGTGAAAATCACAGTAAGTGTAATGTTAAATTTGAACGGTGTGAATTCTAAATTTTACACCATCAAACGTGTAAATGTATTTCTTGAAATTTCTCATTAATTAATATTATTTGATTGTTTAGTTTCAGGCTTGTACGATATTAGATTTTAAATATAAACACGTTGAAATAAATATTTTAAAGTATATTTTTTTTGATATTATGCTATTTTACGGAGTAAAGTAAAAGTTTTATGGTTAAATTTGGTATCGTTGGAAAAGTTTTGACCTGGAGTTATGTTTTTTCATGGTTTCATATCATTCTCACCAATAGTCAATTTATGATGATAAGTATTTAGGCTGCATTCGAAAATGCTCTATTTCTAAATACATAATTAAGAAATGACCTTGTACCTTGTGAACTATTGACATTTTTAAATATATAAGCTCATCCCGTTGTTACACTCATCAAGACCTTTCATTTAAGTACCCACATCATTTTTTCATATATTTATATATATTATATATATGAATATATAAAAAATATATCAAAATGCATGTGGGTACTTAAATGAAAGCTCTTGATGA